ATGCACAAACAATGAATCATGGAACACTACATCAAAAACTAATGATGTAATGTATGGTGATTAACAATAAAAATTTAAAAAATAAAAAATAAAATAACAAAAATGGAAACTAGTATGATCCTTTATGTTTTTAAAAGATTTCATTTATATTTGTACATATATGTTTATACACGTAGGAAAAGGGACTGAACAGAGAAAACATGTCAAAGTGTCATATCTGGGGAGTCAGAGAGAACAGGGTTGTTTCTGCATAAAATTTTTACTGTGAACAGTGTAAGTTGTTTTAACCTTTAGAAAGTAAAAAGTAAAAATAATAATAATAATAATAAAGAGGAAAAAATAAACATCAGTATAAATCTAAGGGAGAAAAAAGACAATCTTTTTTTTTTTAAAGATTTATTTATTTATTTTAGAGGGAGTACTCAAGGAAGGGGAGGGGCAGAGGCAGAGTGAGAGAAAGAATCCCAAGCAGACTCCACGCTGAGCACAGAGCCCATATGCTGAGTACTGAGCCTGACACGGGGCTCGATCCCACAACCCCAAGATCATGACCTCAGCCAAAACCAAGAGGGGGACGCCCAGCCAAATGAGCCACCCTGGTGCCCCGACAGTTAATCTTTAGAAGCACACACGAATATTTCATAGAAAACTTTTATTTTAATTTACTATACATATTTAAATTTTAGGAAGTTACTAGGCCGATGCACTTTCCTCTGTAGGTTTAGTTTGATCTTCAGTTACCTGTAAATACATAAATACTTTAATTTTCTAATAATAACCACTTTTAGTTTTACCCTTAGCCCACCATTTTAAATCATTCCACAGTCCTTCTCCTATAATGACCCTTGGTCTTTCTCCTTTATTAGTAATTATTATAGGAAGTTAAGCAGAAAAAGAAGAAAACATACAAGGCCAGGTTCCCAATATAAATTATCAAGTAAAGTACAACAATTTCATTAAAAATATAATCTGAAGCATATAGCTAGGCTTCTCCAGTTTGTCATTTTATTTTTCAATTACAAAATGAAATCATTCATGTTAGAAAAATACCAGCAATGCTGTAACACAGTATCTTAAATCAACAGATTTTCTTGGGAGGTATAATTCTATTTTAAATATAGTATATTACAGGTTTAGCAGAAACAGGTATCTGTACATCCATATTTCTATTCTGTGACACTTAAACACATCAAACAGCTATACTTACTCCTCACCACCCCGACACCCACCACACCTCCAGCATCATCTATCTCAGTGAAGGTCTCTACCCAGCTGTCCACACCTGCCATTTGGGAATCCATGGTTCTCTTATGTGCATATTCAATCCACAGTCCTACTAATTCTACCCAAGTGGCTCTCACTGCAACACCTGAACTTGAGGATCTCACCACCTTCTATCCCTTTAACAGGACTGCTGGCTTAAGTCACAGCTTTCTTCCACGCTGCCCCAGAGTAAGCTTTTAAACATGAACAGCTGACCCATAGTTTACTTCCTTTTTCAGATTCCCCAGTGACCCCCAATCACCTCCAGGAGGGGAATGTAAATTCTGTATCATGGAAGACAAGCCCTTCATATGTTATTTCCAACAGACTTTGTTGAACTCATCACCCACCCTACATAAGACTGTACGTTCAGACCCATCTTATACTCATCACGCTCTCCATTCCTCCACCCCTCTAGTCAAGCAGCTTCCTCTGAGACATCCACCAACCTCTCCCCAAGCAAATTATTTGCCGGGCCCACTTTAGTCATCCTCTCCAGCCGGCTTAAGCAACACCAATCCCTGGAAACCTTCTTTAACCAACCCGCCAGCTTGGTTTGGGTCCTTTGCTGTATGCCAGAACTCCACATGTACACCCAACTGTCTGCTTCCAAGTCTAGTTATCCGTTAAAGTAACTTCCCTGAGGCCAGTAAGTAGGTTTTGTTCATTTCTGTACCTACAGCTCCTGGCACATAACAGACATCTGAATCAACGAACCATATGTTTAACCTACTCCCTTCAAACAAATAAAATGGACAGAAGGAGGAAACCGAACCAGAATAAATGTTGCAAAAAAGCTACTCACTGATTCGTATTATATACTCTAGGCTACTTCCTCTACTATTTTCCTATTTTTTATTATATACTCATTTCTTCTCTAGTTTCCTAATCTAAAATGATCATTATGGTGAAGGGGACTAAGAGCACACTAATAGTGATGAGCACTGAGAAATGTACAGAATTGATGAATCATTATATTGTACACCTGAAACTAATATAACTCTGTGTGTTAGTCATACTTGAATATATAAATTAAAAATAAATAATAAAATGATTGTGACCAAAGAGACAAAATTATTCTATCCATTCAAAAATACTTTCTTTTCATGAGAAAATTACATGTAATCTAGACTAAGTGCCTCAAAAATAAATTTTATCTGTAAATTCATTAATAAAGACTAGGTTTGTACATCATCATAAAAAATAATCAATAAATACTTACCAGCTAACCCATATACCAAAGGTTGGGCTCAAAATTTGGCATGATACATACATAATAATCCCTGAATGGGTTAACAGACTGAATGTAAATGTACTAGCAAAAACAATTGGAAAACCATATGAGGAGGTATATAATCAAGTGGAAATTGTAAGAATGGATATTTGTTCAGAGATTACTTTGCAAATGTTTCATGAGGACAGTAAGACTTGGATGAGGTACGGAAGAATGAGTAGGATGTATTCATTCATAGACAGGAGGAGAAACAGACACAGAGTCCAAACAGAAAAACTGCCGTGAATAAACAAACTTGAAAATAAGTCTGAGTTAACAATGCTAATATCATATATTTGAAAGTTACTAAGAGAATAGATTTTAAAAGTTCTCACCACACACACACAGAATATGTAACTCTGTGAGGTGATGGATATGCTAACTAACCTTACCGTGGTAATTAGTTTGCAATACATACACATATCGAATCATTACAATGTACATCTTAAGCTTACACAACGTTATATGTCCATTATATCTCAGTAAAGCTGGGAAAAAATAAAGTGATATAAGACCGCAAACTAGGGGCACCTGGGTGGCTCAGTCAGTTAAGCGTCTGCCTTCAGCTCAGGTCATGATCCCAGGGTCCTGGGATCGAGCCCCACATCAGGCTGCCTGCTCAGTGGAGAGTCTGCTTCTCCCTCTCCCTCTGCCTGCCTCTCTGCCTACTTGTGCTCTCTCTCTCTCTCAAATAAATAAATAAAATCTTTAAAAAAAAAAAAAAAGGAGAGAAAAGAAAAAGTTTGATGTACGTTTGCAAACTTGACTAGAGTAGAAAATTAGGATGACTAGGAAGGGTTCATGGCCAGATTAAATGGAACAGCTATCAGATAATGTAAGTAAAGGATGAGCACTTAGCCTATGAAAGAGTAAATAGGGATAAAATAGGTCAAGAAATATAATCATTCCTACTTGTGAAATCTAAATGCTAATGACACAGAATGAACTACAAAACACAAGTAACTTACTCAAATACTGTTTTTCAGGACATTTGCACATTTAATATGTCAACCAAAAGTCAAGGCATTTTTAAAATATATCTGACAAATCTTAATCTCTCAATGCTCATTTAGTTTACAAAAAAATTACCAAAGACCTAATTAACACCACTGGACCCACTAAGATCTATTACTACTATAAAGCAGTATTCTTCTTCTTCAAGTTCCACAGTATCATTTCCATGATATTAACAAACAAAAACAGGAGAAAGGCCAAATTACAACTCTTCTCTTGCCAAGATACTACTGGGCTCACCAACTATAACACTGCTTTAGCTATTGAGACAATTAGTTACTTTTTTCTTTCATTTTCTTTTCTTCCCTTTTTTATTTATTGTTGTGTTGTTGCCTGATTCCAATAAAAATTTCTTCATGGAACAGTACTCATTAGCTGTCAAAAAACACTTACCATTTTCCGAGATCTTCCCAACAGCTTATCCCATATCGTAAAATGTGCCTTGAAAAGAAAAGATTCACTATGAATTAAATAAAGCAATAAAGTTAAAATAAAAGGAAATGAGTCTTATATAGGTTTTAAACAAAACAAATACATAAGAAGTCAGGCAGTACTAATGAGGCTAAGCAGTTACAAAAGTAGATTCGAGTAGGGGGAAAGGTACTTTACGGGACAGCTGCTTTGTTTGGCATGTAAGAAAAACTGACATTAAGCACTGAAAATGCCATTCTTCCTCTTCTGTCCTTCCTAATCATTACCATCACAGACAGCATTCCTTCTAATGGGAAGCAAAACTCTGCCCCACTTTCCCATGGGCTGTAGTTCTTTCCTTAAATAGCCATTTTCAACAAACTAGAAGTCATTCTTCAAATCACTAGCAATCACAAGGAGAGGTTCATCAAGAACCGATGGTGACCAATGGTGACATCTTCACGCTGAAATGGCAGTTCTAGAGGATTTAGCAAATTACCTAAAGAACAAGTAAAAACTAATGTAGAAAATAGTAAAATCATAGAACCAATTTACTTAATCCTTAAAAATTTTATATAGTTGGGGATTCTCAGAATGCACAGATGAAAACTGTGTAAAATGCATTAAGGACCGCATCAATTTTACTAAGTCATTTAAAGGTGATACTGAGGGATATGGGTGGGCCAGTGACTACATCACACTGAACGACCTGGTAAAATCTATGATAAAAGGTAAAATTACTATATGCACGTGTAAGCCCTTCTGGAGAAAAGAGCAGTGTTGTATGTTTAAAAGGAAAACCACACCTGACTCCAGCAGAATGGACAGCTGGTGCAGACCCTACGGTGTGGCTGGAAGACAGTGGATGATGGAGAAAGTCGTGTGAGACGTCAGAGAGGCAGGCAGGGGCCAGATAATGTGGGGCTTTGTGAGACAAGATACAGGGTTGGGATTTTTATCAGAAGCCCCTGGAATGTTTAGGGCAAAGGGATTATGTGATCTGATTTGTATATGAAAAAGTCCTTTTGGCTACTAAGTAGGGAATGTGCTTCGGGGGGCAGAGTGAAAGCAAGGAAGGGGTGAAGAGTAAGAGGGGCTTGGAAAGGGTGGTGGTAGCAGATGGGATGCTATGCAATGGAGGGACTCAGGGCATGTTTCAGAGTTAAGAGTTTAAATGCCTTGATGATGAATGGGATGGAGTATGGATGGGAGGGAAACAGAATCAAGGATTACCTCACAGCTAAGTAGATGATGGTGTCATTTACTGAAATGCAGAAAGCTAGGAAAGGAAACAGGTACGTGGAGAAAAATCAAACATGTCAAGGACAAATGCTAAAAAGTACAAAATGTTGATGAATGAGATGAAGAGTTTAAATAAAAAATATACTATGTTCAAAGACTAGAAGATACAATTTAGTAAAGATGCCAATTCTCCCCAAATTTATATATAGGTTTAATACAATTCCTATCAAAGTTCCAGTAAGACTTGTCAATACAGAAAGATTATCCTAAAATTAAATGAAAAGGCAAAGGACCTAAAATAATTTAAGCAATTTTTTAAAATAATAACATGGAATGAATTATTCTACCTGATTTCAAGAACTGTTTACTGTTACAGTAATCAAGACTGTGATACCAGCAGAAGGACAGACACACAAATCAATGGAACAGAATAGAGAACCCATAAATAGAACCATACAGATATGGTTTTTAAAAATGATTTTTAATAAGGGTACAAAAGCAACTTAATGGAGGAAGGATAGCCTCTTTAACAAATGATGCTGGAGCAATTTGACATGTATAGGCAAGAAAAATGAACTGCAACCTAAATCTCACACCTTATACAGAATTTAGCACAAAGTGGACCACAGACTGAAATATAAAACTATAAAACTATGAAACTTTTGGGGGGGGGGAAAGGGAAAAAATCTTTGGGATCTAGGTCCAGGCCAAGAATTATTTGAATTAACACCAAAAACATGATCCATAAACAGAAAAACTGATAAACTGGACTTCATCAAAATTAAAAACTTCTGATCTTTTGTTAAGAGGATGAAAAGACAAACTACTGACAGAGAGAAAATATATGTAAACTACATACCTAACAAAAGACTAGTAGCCAGAATACACTAGGAAAAAAACTCTCAAAATTCAACAGTAAAAAAAAACAAACAATCCAATTAGAACATAAGCAAAAAACATAAACAGACTTTTGCCAAAAAAGATATACAAATGGCAAATAAACACATGGAAAGATGTTCAACACAATTAGCCAATAGGAAAATGCAAATTAAAACTTCAGTGAGAAATCACTACAAGCCTATCATAATGGCTAAAAATAGTGACAATGTCAAATGCTGGCAATGATCAAAAAACTGATTACTCACACATTGCTGGTGGGAATGGTAAAATGGTACAGTCACTCTGGAAATCGGTTTGATAGTTTCTTAAAAAACTAAGTATGTGCCTACCGTATGACCCAGCAATTGTACTCATGGGCATTTATCCCAGAGAAATGAAAACATATATTCACAAAAGCCTGTACACAAATGTTCATAGCAGCTTTATCCATAATAGCCAAAAAACTACAAACAACCCAAATATCCTTTAACAGGTGAATGGTTAAACAATACACAGTAGGTCCATACCACAGAATACTACACAGCAATAAAAAAGAACCAACTATTGATATACACAACAACTTCGATGAATCCTCAGAGAATTATGCTGAGAGAAAAAAGCCAATCCCCAAAGATTACATAATGTATGATCCCATTCATGACATTCTTGAAATGAAAATTTGTAGGAGCAGAGAACAGACTAGTAGTTGCCAGGGGTAAGGAGGTGGGGGTGGGGCAGAGGAGAGTGGATGTACCTATAAAGGGCCAACAGGTGAGAGCCTTGTAAAGAAATTGTACTGCATCCTCATTATGTCAATGTCCATACTCTGGCTGTGAAATCTACACAGATTTTGAATTATCTGAAAATCCAAAGTTGAATTTAAAAAAAAGCATTAACGAGGGGTGGGAACAATATGGAAAATAACAGACTCTGGGTCATGAATAGATTAGGAAAATTAGGGAGAAGAGCCTGCCAAACCTAAATTCAAAAGAGATTCCAGAAGGGCTTACCAATATGCACTCTAATAATCCTCAATGCACCCTCCTCCCCTATACTAATTTGAAAAATTAAAATTACTATCTCAGTCTGATTCAACTTTTTCAACTAAATCAGTTTACATTCCGGGGAAAATTATTTTTATCATAAACCTGAATTTACAAAGTATTAGTGTCACACAACTTAAATGAAAATTAAAATGTATGTCCTTCAAATTGGTATAAATCAAGACCAGAATCACACCCACGCCCAAACTGGACGTCCTGAAACTTTAAGCTTTACTTACTCTTTTTTTTTTTTTTTTTTT